GTGAAAAGCCCCAGGGAATCCTTATTAAGCAGCAGCAACGCTTCAGGACATGCAATGACACAGCATGGGGTCAAGCAGGAGATGCTGGTTTAGCTTCCAAACCTTTCCCATAAAAAGAAAACCAACTCGAACACCCCCAAACCCCTAAATGATCAACTATTAGCAAAACCACAGAGCCTGGGTATCAGAAATACAGTGGATCCCTAGAGATACCTCCAAGGGCTGGTGCAAGGTGAAGTCCCACTGTGGACTTAGGGGAAATGCAGACTGGTTGATGTCTTCCTGCAGGTGAGCTCTAGTGAAGCTCCCCTTCAGCACACTCCTCAGCAAGAAGTATCCCATCTATAAACGTTTATGAAGGCTGCAGTCCCATAAGGGAACTCTCAGTTCAAGCCCCTCAAGTAATGTGCCTAAAATGTGCAGGGAGCTTTTTATATAAGCTCATCTTCCACTTACCCTCCACCCAGAAGCATGTTTAAGCTCAAGGACAAGGAGCAGAATTGATTCCTCCGTGAGCTTCAGAGTAAGTTACCCTCTTTGAAGAAGCTGGACAGGACACCTAAGAGGAGGTAGAAAGCATTGGAAATGCAGGATCCATAGAAAGTCAGGCTATTTTCTCTCACATGTGAGTGAGAACAGCCATTCATGTCACCATGGCCCAGGTGACACCATCATTTTGGGGATGGAGGTAGTGATAAGATCAAGAGCTGCAGTGATGCAGAACACACGCACTGCTCACCTATACCCCAGTCCCAAACCCCCTTGTTGCTGCCCTTCAGTTCAACATCACGTTCACACACACAAAAGGCTTTGCTTATGTGGCCTGTGGGGGCATCTGTTATAACAGGTCCAGCTCTCAGGGTCAAATTCATCAGGGCCCATTGAATCCCATTTGCACAACCTGCCCAGACCTGTGTGGGAGCTTTCACATCCTGAATCACTGCAGCTGAGACACCACGGGCTGCTCCAGCGAGCAGCAAGGGGGTCACTGCTCTGGAATCTTAGCCCATGAGTCAATGCAGGAGAATGTGAGAGTCACACACTGTGTCACACTGGCTTGTAACTGATGATAGTCTACAGCCAAATTAGAAATGAAGAGGTTCTTAAGAGAAGGGTCCGAGCTGCTGAGGCCATGATGTGATTGCACAGGTCAGTGCATCCAGACTGAAAGGAAAATGTCACTGCCCAGAAATAACCAAGGCAAGCAGCTCTCCACTGGAGACACACACTCATCTTGTGGATGCATCCTCACTGAGGCACTAAGTGTGGGTGTGTTTTCTAGCTTTCCCCAATGACCAGACTCACCGAAGGGCCCACCAAAAAGCACAGTACAACAACTGAAACTGGAAATGAGGAAAATTCCAAGCACATGAGCAGCATCCCTCAGCACTGTCTTCTTGCTACAGTGCTAAGGGCTGGGGCATGCAGAGCACACCCCACTTGGGAGGCTTGAGAAAGGGAGGAGGGAGCCAGGAGACAAGAGGCAGAGCTCGATACTGGAGCTGCCCTTCCCCTCTATCCACCTTTATTAAAAGCAGGGTGAATTCAGACCAGCGTGGTTGCTGCTGTCAGCATGATCTATGTTGAGAGGATTTTGACCCATAGGATCAGAATAGCTCACACATCACCTGTGCACTGTACAGCCTTAACTGCACAAGAGGGAAGAATCTGCCAGTCCTTTATAACACCAAAACAGGCCAAGCTGGGTATTACACAGAAGCTGGCAGAGAACAAACCCCATCTGCCCTTCCTGCCCATGCTACCAACACTGTCCTCTGCTCAAAGCACAGCACCAGGGTGGGTTTGCTCCATGTATTAGCAGCTTGGGAGGTGCATTCCCTCCCTCGATGTCTCATCTGTGGGCAGGGGCAAGGGCAACATTCATGTGTGTCTGTGTGAGCCCCATCCCTGTCTCCTTTCCTCTCAGGGAGCTTGCTCTCGTATCTAACCTCTCCAGCCTGTTGGCACTGGAGGCAGATGATGCAGCCTGTAGAGGTGCAGGCACTTCCCTCTCCCCCTCCCCCTGGAATCTGCCTCTCACTTGTGGTCCTTGGGATTCACCCAATGTTTCTCAGAAAAAAAGAAGAGGACCTCAAGACAAGTATGCATTTAATAAGCAGAGAGACAAATAAGCTCCAGTTATCCCAGCAGAATTACAACACCAGAGAACAATTTTCTGCATTCCTCTGAAGGCCTGAAGGAACCCAATTGCCTGCTCTCAGCCTAAATAGGTACCAGACACCAAGTGCTCCATAAGCAAACAGAGCCCCCAAAGTGCAAAAATGAAATAAGTAAAAAGCTTCACATTACATATAAACCAGCCGTTTGCACCTTGTTATTAATGGTCTTGACTATGACCTTTAAACCCTGCCTTGCTCAGAGTCATGGATCTATGAGCCTTGGCACCCTCACAACAATTCCAGGATGAGGAGCAGGGAATAAACAAGAGCACCGGAGGAGATGCGGGAAGGAACAAGCCTGCCACAAACCTGGAGCAGGAACTGCTCCAGTGCAGCAGCCAGGGCTATGGGGTGACCATCTCCATGTGAATCTGTCACCAAACCTTACTGACCAAGGCTTCTGACAGCAAAGTCCTGCTGCCACATATACACATGCACAAAAGCTAGTAACACACACATCTATCCCCAGAGAGCAAAGGGCTCACAGCACGGTAAGTAACTGCAAGAGAGCTCACTCCCCAGAGGATAATTCTGATGTGGTTCAAAGCCCACATGAACTAGAGCTGCCTTAAGGAGACCCTGCTACCTACAAATATTTATTAGTCTGAACTGCCTCACCGCTGATCTAAGAGCTTTCTTGTTCTAACAGCATCAGTAGCCAGTGGAAAGTTTGACTCCATAAAGATGTTCAGCACAAAGTCATTGCCTCTGGAGGAGAAGACACTGCCACACATGGCTGAGAACGCTCTGGAGGCATGCACATGCTTGACTGGCTTGGCTTCTCTGGGCACCCTGTGCCAGCGCCTCAGCACCCTCACAGGGAAGAGCTTCTGCCTAAGAGCTCAGCTCAGTCTCCCCTCGGGCAGGTTCAAGCCATTCCCCTTGGCCTGTCCCTACAGGCCCTTGTCCCAAGCCCCTCTCCAGCTTTTCTGCAGCCCCTTTAGGCACTGGAGCTGCTCTAAGGTCTCCCCTTCAGGAGCCTTCTCTTCTCCAGGCTGCCCCAGCCCAGCTCTCTCAGCCTGGCTCCAGAGCAGAGCTGCTCCAGCCCTCGCAGCATCTCCATGGCCTCCTCTGGCCTCGCTTCAAGTCCCTCTCATGTTGTTGCCCCAGATCTGGATCAAGACTGCAGGGGGTCTCCTTGGAGTGCAACAGAGGGGGAGAATCCCCTTATATATATGTATATACACACACACACACACATACATGCATGCAACTTAACTGCATATGGACTGAAACAGGCTATTACCATGGTATGGATCAGGTTGTAGGGCCTTGCTCCAGTGGCAAATCAATGTCCTATACTGCATGAACAGCCCTGCTAGGAAATCATAGAGAGAGCTCCTCCTTCCTCAAGAATTACTGGCACTTGCAGAGAGAGGAAGATTTTCATTACACTGCCTGTTGCCAGCTATACTTTCAGCATAAGCCCATCCCCTTTCTCTTACTGTTATGTCAGGGGAGGACAGTGAAAGAAAGCAGCTCTTGGGATGATACATGGGAGGTAGTGCTTCATTTATAACCCCACACAAACGCTGGAAAATGTTCAACTTTAAAAAGCATTAGGTTGGTTACCTTATGGGCCCCTGCGGACCAAGAAGTGAAATTACATGAACACAACATATCTATTAATCACCACAATGATTCCACAGTGAGAAACAGCCCCAGTGACATACATTCAACTGGAAAGAAAGTTGAGAAAATTACCTGCTAGTAGTTAGGCAACTCAAAAAATGTGATAGTACCTTTGTGTAGGGCTCCCCTCTTGACTCCTCAATGAATTCAAGTATTTCACTTGGATTAAAGCCCAGTCAATACATACATATAGTGGAGAGTAACTACAGCATTTCTAGCTAAACATGTGTGTTTCCTCTCAGCCAGGGTTACAAATAAGCTCCACTTACATGAGATGCATAAGCACTTTACTTACAACGTAAAGAAGGAGTTGGGAAAAAAGAAGAAAAAAGTCATTCCCAGTCTTCTGCATCAAGACAGATTACAGGTCAACTCAAACTGACCTCTAATTGGTTTTTGGTGTTACTATACAGAACAGAGAATGCTACGGCAAGCTTCTTCCATCCAAAATTGAGGAACTAGAATAATTTACACCACCTTGGAAAGCAGCCGTCAATGTCATGGCTGACATCAATCCTTCCCCAAGATCAGCAAAGATTCCACATGTAAAATCTCCCTAGTTATCACGGTAAGTATATGTGTTTATCTATAAAATGTAAGACAATGGCCAGCGTTTCCTGTGCTCAGAATTAGCATTTCTCCACCAGTTTGGGCTATTTTTATCACTCCCACCCTTAAGCAGCCTTGGTTAACGTGACTCTGTCTCCTCAATGCCAAGCAGTGGACCTGAATGTGAGAAAGGAGACATTTTCCCTAATGGGGGTCATACCAATTATCTCAAACCACTTGGCTGCCACAGCCATTTTTTCACCTCTGCAGTAAACAAACCCTTGTAGCTGGTCCATACATAAAGCAATTCCTTTGAAGAGTGCTCCACATCTCTGCTCTCTTCAAGTCTTGATATCAACAACGATGATACTTTGGACTAACACTTGAAAGTTCAGGTCTCCCTAAAGACTCCCATGCAGTTATCACAACCACTTTTGGCAGTTTCAGAAAGCAGCCTGTGCTTCAAAGCAAAGTGGTTCCAAAGACAAAAGATACACAATTAAATTTAAAGAGGTATCAGTGTGAAGGAGTTTATACTTCCATTTCCTTGCATAACGCAAGCTTATAGGACACAAACAAATCTTTGTTTGCCCACTAAAATCCAATTTAAACAGACACTTAAGAAGGCAACAAGTTCAATGTGTTAAGAAGCAACCTTTTAATAAAGAAAGCAGAACCATACTTTGCTGTTAACAAATATTCTGAAGAAGGCTTATAAAATTAAATCTAAGCCAATTATCTGGTGCATCTGCAGCTGAGAAGGAAGCGTCAATACTCCAAACATCTGCTCCATTTGTGTCCTCTCCTTTCTTACAGAGGAAGTATCAGCTTCCAGTTGTATGATTAAGGTATTGCTCAACAAAAACTGTTTTCTTAGGTGAACAGACTAAGGCCAAAGAAGGAATTCATAAGTTAAGCACCATTACCAACATGGAAGCCTGTCAAAGGTAGGAGTTTGAAGAACACAGTTTTCTTCCTTGCCCCACACACCTAGGGGTCAGATAACCACCTGGGGTGAGGCTTATGAGAACAATCATGGAAAGCACCTCCAGTCACACTGGAGTCAGCTGATGCCAGAAACTGGACAGCAGGAAGACCTTGATGTTTTCCATAATGGAGTTGAGGGGTGAAAGAAGAGTCCCAGAGCACTGGAAGAAACAGAACACAACAACAAATCAGCTCAGTTTCCAAACCAACATCTTTTCACAGGCTCATGGTATGAACACAGAACCACCCTGGTATCTTTCCCTCAAGGCAACAGAGCTGATGCCATGAAATAGGCTTGCAGGAAACATTAAATATCACCCAAGACACACAAAAGAAGAAAAATGCTCCAGCCTCATCCACTCACCTTGGTGCAGGCCACTCAGCTGGAGGCCAGAACGCTGGGAGCACTCACAGGCCACAGCACCCGCAGCACCTAGGGAGAAGCAGGGGGGATTAGGACAGTGTTTCTCTGTGCCACAGCTCTTCCAGCCACCCTCTTCAGTGTGGAACGGGCTGGGGAGGAGGACAGTGTGTTTCCTTGGAAGTTCATGGATTCCGTATAGGTCATCAACTCAAATGTGTGAAAACTGAACAGACCATCCACCAAGACCAGCCCATGCTTCCAGACAGGATCCATATTCTAGATGCCATCTAAACAGTTCCAGAAATAAAGATTAGGCTAAAACAAATGGTGCAAACTCCTCTGCACCTTCTCAACCCATCCCCCAAGTATTCTGCTGGGACTTGTGTTATCCTTGCACAAACCCTCTTTTCACAAGGCAGCAATGACAGGACTCATTTACTTTGAGGGTTTTACTTGGGCCCTCCTGGCTTCTATCATAACCTCAAATATTACATTAAAAAGGCTTTTAAAACATAACATTCAGAGCAGTGCAGGAGCTTTTCACTGAGCTAGCTTCTTCCCTGCCTGCTTGCGTGTGGCACCTTCACATTAAGTGCATGAGTTAAGATGTAGATTAGCAAGGCAAGAAACCTTTGCCCTTGGCATCGACACTCAGCTGTGACAGGAAACTTCAGGCTTTGGGTTTTTTTCTATGAAGTGTAGAACCACTCATTTCCCATTGGAGGGAAGTGCACATCTCCAAACTATACACATTTTCTCTTAGATAAGCAAAAGATTCAAGTGTTTATAAATATGAAAAGTTCAGCAGCTGGCTCAAAAGTTAATTCTCCAGTCTCACTAATGAGCTCCGGGGAAAGTGGCAGAGGGATTTGGTCAGAGAGTAACACAGTGTGTCACAGAAAGCAGGACTTGCCAGACAGGGCTCTCTTTAGTCCTATTTTTTCTCTCTAGATGGCTGCTATCAGCAAAATGGCAAGAAGTCCTTTAACAGGGAGCTATGAACAACAAGAATGAGAAATGGTTTCCTCTAATCATGCAATCATAAAAAAATAGCCGATTTTTAATGTAAGCCCCATGACTTCTTGCTTTGTTGTGAAAATATCAAGCAAGCCATATCAAAACACTTTAGAACACGGACTGTCTTAGGATTTTGTCCAATTCCCTGCACAAGGAAGTTGTTTTTAGTAGGATTTAGCAGGAACACTGCTGCAATATTTTTTCAGTACTTATATTAACTACTACTGGCCTATTCCAGTAGCATAAAGTTTGGACTTAAAGAATGGGGCTGACTTGCTTGGAAGGTTAGTTGTTTTCAGGAACTTCTAAGAAGCCTATTTGCAGTGCCTGCTGTCACTCTGCATCTCTGGCTTTCTTGAAGGCAGACTTCTTGGTGTCTTTTAAGAGATTACAGAAGGATTTGAACAAGATGATACAGAGCTACCAAGTTCTCCACCTATGTAATGATTAAAAACTAAACATCCATGCTGAATGAAGAAATGATCAGACTCTCCTACCTGCAGTTTCAGAGGTTGTTTTATGTAACAGTATTTTTCAGTTCACTCAGTGAACTGCACAGATTATTGACATGCCTTTTGTGTGCCTCCTCCCTCCTGTCACTTACTGAGGATATTCTGACCAGCTTCCTTAAGTAGTTGCTGGTCTCTGATGACCAAGAACAAGGTGATTCTCCAAGACATCAGAAATCTGGCTGAAACAAACAGCAAGGCTGAGCTCTTACCCACTGAGAGCAATTGTAGTTCAGCTGAGGTGGAGTTCTCTACCACTACCTATGCCACCATCCCCAGTGGCACATCTTCCCTTCATCAGAGAACATTAAAAGTCCTAGTTGCAAGAGAACTGGGAAGCCACAGAATGGTTTGGGTTGGAAGGGACCTTAAAGCTCATCCAACTCCAGCCCCTGTGTCCAACCTGGCCTTGAACACTGCCAGGGATGGGGCAGCCACAGCTTCTCTGGGCACCCTGTGCCAGCACCTCAGCACCCTCACAGGGAAGAGCTTCTGCCTTAGAGCTCATCTCGGTCTCTCCTCTGGCAGGTTCAAGCCATTCCCCTTGGCCTGTCCCTACAGGCCCCTGTCCCAAGCCCCTCTCCAGCTTTCTTGCAGATGCTTGTAAATGCTAACGCCAGCACCAGTCCCTGGTGCCGGGAAACCCTCCCATCTCTGCAAGGCCCAATGAAACCCCCTCTGGTGCCTGGTCCCAGGGCCATGAGCACAGCCCAGGACAGACCCCTTCCAGAAGGATCCGACCCGTGGACAGCGCCAGCGCTCCAGTCTCTCTTGCTGGTGTATTACGCTGTATACATTGGAACTAGTAAATGCTTCATTGTGATTTTTGGCCACTTGGAACATTTTTAGCAACTTGCCAAGGTTTACCCTGTGATTTATTATGGAGGAAACAAACTCAAGCACTAACAAATGAAAATATGTAAACTCAGACTTTTCAAGTCAATACAAAGGTATTCAAGCTTCTTAAAACCCTTTAGAGGCCAGCAGTTTGCTGTAGATTCAATTGCTGGAAACAACAGGTTGCTTAAGAAACAAATGAAATGTAAACTAAGGAGTCACATTTAAGTCACTTTATAGAGATTTATAGTGAAAAATTCCATACGTATCATACTTTCCAACTGTCCTTCCTAAAGCTCTGTTCTGGATTTGTTGGGAAATTGAACAGTTCAACAATTTGTTAGAAATAGTTTGTACTGCTTTTTCATTAAGGCCAAGGTACTCCAGGTATCTACCATCTAGAACTTTATTATCTCGAATTACTATATGTAATAAGTTAAAACACACCATGAAAATATACTTGTAATAATTAAATACATGGGGAAAAATCATGTAGAAAGCTTAAAGCACTGGAATTACCTGCAAATATAATGCTACATACAGCAAATAATAGTTTCATTACAGTATTTTTGGGTAGAGAGGCAGATGTCGTTAAATAGAAGATAAACTTCCATTTTCAGTATGAAAATTCAACTAGATGCTAGTACCATGTACTTCCAGAACACAGCAGTGTTAGCAGCCATCACAGCATTATCTGTACTTAAAATACTGAAGCAATGTATGAATAAAATCAGAAGGGTTAGTCTGATTTTGAGTATCATTGTTTCTTGCAAGTTGTCCAAATACCCTGAATGCATCGGGAATGGGATCAAGAGTACAATAATCTAATAATTATGGGTATTACTGGGAGTTCACATTAACTGCATCTAAAATAGAATACTGGAAGATTGTATTGTGAGCTGCCAATCTCAAGAGATGAATATGGAATTCCTTTCTTAGCTGTTTATCTCAATACAGAGTTTCCACTTTCACCAGCATGAAACTGGTACAGTGAGTGTCAAGAACCCCTCTGTCTGTGCCTGCCACCAGTGGGACTTGGCTGGTGGAATGATGCAGCAACATGCATGTTTCTTGACCATCTTTTCAACTTAATAGACATTATCCATCCTTTCCTATAGAAAACAAGCAAAATAAACAGACTGCCAAATGATCAAACCCTGGGAGCCTTTTCCCCTCATTTGGACACGTCACTTGACGTTCAAAATGCCATTATGCAAAGCCAACTAACTCGGACAAAGTCTTTTTTTTTTTTGGTTCAAGAAACCCAGCAGAGAACTTCACCAAGCAATTCTTTGTTAGTATAACATTTGACCTTGTATCTCTTTGGAAATCATACAACTTTGCTAATGCAGTCCTTACAGAATTAATCAAGCAGATAGTTAGACCCTGGTTACTATGAACCCAGCCAATTATGAGCAGCACTGAAATTTGTCATTGGCATGTCCAACTACATTTTCCAACATAAAGATCAACAGAACTGTGTGGAAATGAGGCCCCACTCTCAGACCTGCATGACTTCGACACTGTAGACTAGAATCACTAGCAAAGCCAACGCTTTTAGGAACAAAGTATTCTTAAGCAAAAAGGCTCACCTCTCTGGTCTCCATTACCTGCTGCATTAAAACAGCAAGAAAGCATAATGCCTTTCACCCTCTATTTTGACTAGCAAAGCTAGAAGAAATGATTCATTGAGAGTTCAGAGCTCTTTATTTGCCACTCTGCTTTACCGCGTGAGCTCTACAGTTCAATAAAGGGCAAATCTACTGCATGGCTTAGTATGAGAAGTGGGGAGGGGAAGATGCCTAGGCAGTTTCTCCCTCTGTCAAATGAGACAGCACAGCTTTCAGAGTGCAGGGAAAGAGGACAAGGTTACAGCCAGCAGCAGTGGTAACAAATAAGGAAAAGAAACCTGGAAAAAAGCAGGGCAGAGAGAGGGAGAAAGGAGACACACAGAAGGTACCCATAGGAACAAACAGCTCAACAGCAGACGTATTTAGATACGTTTAAAGCAGCCTGGATTAGAAACATATCTACCTAAAAGCCTGATTGCCATTGTCAAGTCTAATTTCTGTCCTTGAACAAGTACTCAAATGACAGAACTGCGGGCACTGAACACGTTCTTCATCAAGTAACTGGAACCGGGCGAGATATAAACCCACTGGTCTGGTTCCCAGAAGGGAAGTGACAGCTAGCTAACTGCTGAACCCAGCTGGAACTTAACAGTTACCTGACCACTGCTCCCACCCATTCCATTCACATCATGCTAGTAGTTTCCAATGCTCAGCATGAGACCTGTTTTTGCCTGCAGCCCAGCCTGCCTTTTACTCACTTCTCAAGATCTCCAGTCAACAAACGTATCTGAGGCTCTCACACCACAGTCTTGACTTCCATGGAATAAAATCCATACTCACCACAGTGCTCTGTGCCAGAATTTCTCTGAAATGCTGCTCCCTTACCATAAGAGGGCAAATTAAAGCCATGCTGTTATAGTAACAGTCAGTATCTTTCCAAACCAGACATTTTGATCAAATTTCAACAAGTGTTGATCAGTAATGAGATTCTTACAAAAGGAGAGAAAATGATTCATGCCCAACAAGCATGAGACTGACTAGAACATTCTTCACCACCAGCCTCTAAGTTCAAAACATCCCACAGGTTACCCCATGACAGAGAGAATACTCACAGCTTTAGCAAAAACAACCATCAGCTCAGGGAACTGGTGTGTGAGGAGGGCAAGCATCGCCGAAAAGGAACACAGGCCTGCTGTGAAATGGATGAAAAAGGGGAGCTCCTTCTGTGGGTAAACGGACACTTCGTGAAATGCTGAAAGGGAAAAGGGAGAGTTACTGGTATTTGATAATCAAGGACAGTTTTCTGAATTACTTACAGTCCTGTACCTCAGTTCTAGGCTTTCAGAGGGATTAAGTGGGGACTATCATGCAGCACGTTAGGTCCCAGCACTTAAAACTTCTCAAACCTTTTCCCCTATATTAAATTCTTCATTAGTTGGAACTAGATGATCTTAATGTTCTTTCCAACCACAACCATTCCATGATTCTATGCTTATCAGTAGTTGATACAGCTTTCTCTTCCCAATCTTTTTTATCTTACACGGGCTTTATTTTTGAAGCATTTCACGAGGCTTAGTTTTTGGTACCTACTCTTTCAACAGGACAGCGGGAAGAACTGTAAAATTCACAAGCTGTCCAAATTACCTAAACCAACTGAAACAATTCAGGTGTGTAAGGCCTCTGAAGCATTAATCCTGTTACCTGAAGAGACCAGCACTTCTCCCCACCCTGTAAGAAGCCCAGCGCAACCATCCTGTTGTATATACAAGGTAGCTCCTTAATACATCTCAAAGATTCCTGCTTGGTAGGCCACAGTAAATTGTTTCAGAGCAGCTGACAGAGCAGACCTCAAAGAAAACACTACCAGGACCAGGTTATAAATTCTGCACATAGCAGCTCCTTGCAATTTCCAATTCACGGTAACAAAATCCAAAGGAGGCGATTAGACAGGCTAAGGACTGGCATCTGGAGCTTTCAGCACTCAAGACACTACTACTGCTTACTAGCTGAGGACCCATGTGTGAATTTGCAATTACTGGCTCGGAATACCTGCAGCTCTGAACACTTATCCAGTGATTTTAAAGGGTTTTTAAATGCAGACAAAAACCAGTTTCTATAGACGTAAGTAATTCTGAAAGGGCAGCATGCTGCTGCTTGACAAACTGTGCTTAAAATCTAACAAAACCCTCAAAATTTAAGCAAGCCCTCTCACAAAACAAGAAAATGCAATAATATTAATTTTTAAACTGAAGTCTGAGGAGGAAGGAGGCACCCTCTCAGTTGTTGTTCCTGAATGCTGGCACATGATAAGCTTCCATTGTAAGAGCAAGCCCAGCAGAACTGGTTTGTGCTCTTGCAACTTGTTAATGGTCAAGTGCTTTCGTTTTGGTTTGCTTTTAAGTATATGATTTTGGAGCACTACTAAGAAGAACATTTGGGGTTCTGTGCTTAATGCCCATCAGCCATATTTAATGTTCCCCAGAGATTATCAGTTCACTTTAATATGCAACCAGCCCTGCTAGGCCACAGTACAGGTGATAGTAATTTGCTCCTCTCTACTGTGCTACCAAATAAACCACTTGTCTACCATGGAACACTTTTACACTCATACTATGTGAAACATGGAGCAATATAATTTAGGAAAGGTCCCAACGTTAAGTTTTTCCTACACTGAAAAATCAAAATCAAACCCAAAATAGATAAAAACAACTCAAGATAAATCTGTGTGCTCATAGCCACAGAACTGGTACCAGTCAGACCAGTACAGGATTGTGAATCATTGATTCGGTCAACATTATTTTAAATAGATAAATTACCAAAAAAACCCAAAACCAAAAGTATCAAGATTTCTCAAGGAAGTTCTGCAATAAAAGTGTTAAGATGATTTTATTTATGGGTAGGTTTATATTTAAAACATAACAGGAATGCGTGAGTGATCCTGTTGAAATAGCTGCATGTGTTGGTGTTTAATTATGCTGGGAAGTCTACAATTTAGGGGTAGTGCTAACCAAGGAATTCCTTGTGCAATATCCTGCATAAGTGAGAAATGAGTAATTTAAAGCAGTCTGGGGGCAAATTTAAATTACACATTTTAAATATAACTTCAGGCTTTTGAAACAGAAACAAGAATGCGTAGTTTTCCTTTCCACAGCTGTGGTCTCAGTGGTTCTGCTGGTGCTTTTGCAGTAGCCTTTTCAGTCCCATGGGACTTCTGTTTCTTCATGATGTAGAAGTCCAGCCCAACGGAATTCTATTAGCATGTACAATTAACAGTCCAATTCTGATCTGAACTAATGCTATTTTCCTAAATCTGATGAGCACAGACCCAGTGATTAGCCTGTCTGCCTTATCTAAAGAAAAAATAACACGTAGGCTCATCATTGTACAGAGTAATCTTGAAGTAATGGGCAGCTGAAGAAGACTTACTTTTCAGTGTCAAGTGTTAGTATAAATCCATAAATGCCTACATAGATAAAAAGTTCCAGGAAACAGACAAATATGTACCAAAGAATTAATGATAGAAACCAATATTCTGTGGAGCTGAGATTAACCAAGGGTTCCCTATATGATCACAGGCAAGTTCTGCTAGACGCCGAAATGCAAGGCTGGAATCATGCATTTATTCCTTGCTAAAAGGAAAGTGCTCCTCTACAACAGCAGTCAAATCCATGGCTTCTTCTAAAAGTAACTTACAGAACTGGCCCACTTTGCTGTTCTCAGAGTTGGCCAAACTTGGTCTGAATGTACCACACACAGATTTCATCTCTGAAGGACTTGCGCTGTTACGGAATCAAGCTAACATTTACCACACATGCATGTCAAGTGCTTCAGGATCATTTGGGAGGGACAGCAACAAACAGCTGAATCCCCTTCACAGGAAGCTCCAACTAAAAAATTCACAGTAAGGTAAATACAGAATACCACAAGCTGAACATGCCCTTAGCTTATGTTTTATTATCATTACTGCTTAGAAACCACTTACTTGGCAACAGTTCTCTGTCTGCTGTTTCTGTGCAACTGGGATAGGGATAGAACAGATGACCTTTCTCTAATGGGTATGGGATCATCCTAAATGCTGAAAAAAGAGTGAGTGACATTAGATCTGTATCTAAACCAAGCAACAAAGAGAACCAATTGTGCTGGAGATGAATAAAGGCAGAGAGACTAATCTATTGTATAGAAAAAAATAAACCAAGGAGAGATACTTACTGCCTTCCCATGTGCAGTGTAGCAGATTTAGAGCCCCTTCTATCCTCTTCCAATGCTGGAGGTGAAAAAAAGCATATGCTACTGCCTCACTGTCCCCTCGCTTCAGAATATGCTCTGGAGGTAGCACCAAGCTTTTCATTTCTAGCAAATACTGAAAGTAAGAAAGGAAAGGGCTCTTATTGCATGGAATATTCAAGAATTTTGAATTGTGAAACATAAACGATCATTTGAGGCACAACAGTGCATGTCACAGGGGCCAGATTCTGCCTGTTGAAAAACCAGCCCCATCCCACCACAGAGCAGACAGCCCACATGGGAAGTGAAAAGCAGCAAAACACATGTTTTATCTAAGACTCAAATTGGGGTTTTCACACACAAAGCATAAGGAAAAAACTTGCATCTTCAGTAAGGCAAAATAAAAATACATTCTTGTGGACTATACATACGAGTGTAACGTTGCAGGTACAATACCAATGGGCTACAAGTTCAGGCTACTAACAACCAAACCACTGAGGTTATTTTTGCACATCATTTCATCACCCAGAGTTTCAACGTGGGAGGCTAAGTACTTGTTAGCTCTCAAGTATGAGGAGCAAACCAGAAAGTGTCAGTGTGCTAACCAAAGGAATAACAACAAACCAAATCCAGGAAAATCTTGGTTTCATGTGGTTTTGCTGGACTACCACAAAGTATCTCTTGCTTTCAGTTTTTTTCAGTTGCAGCCTTGTCCCTCCATCAGCAGAATAGCTGCTGCACAGCAGGGTCAGGGAACACAAGGATCAATCATTTCCCATTTCCCTCGAAACACAGGACATGCAACTTTATTTTCTCATAGCTATTGAAAAGAAGGGCAGGTATTCATTTGAATTTAGCTTTTAAAACCTGATGAGTAAGTTTTACAGGAATGAAATGACAGCTTCAGCTCCAGTATTTACCTGTGAGTCGTTCTTTCCTACCATGTAGTGTCTCATTGAATCACAGCCAAAGTTAATCCACATTCTTTGATCAATGTAGTTGGCAATTCCTTTGACTGTCTCCCGAAGTGTAAGAATGCAGCTAACCCGCCGATTTATTTCAGCAGATGCCACAAACTATGAGATTATTTACTAATCCAGTTTGAGGACTTAACTTTTCCCATTCAGATTCTTGAAGGAATGTAGGAGGGGTTATGCCCTAGCTAAATAAAGCACATTTACTGCCTGGCTAGGTTCTTCTCTTAGTGCCTTGGGCCTGCACTCCAGAGGGGAATATTCCTGCTAATCCCCTCTAATCCTCTTCAATTTTTTTCTTTTTAATTTATTTTTGTTTAACACAGGGAAGGATCACTCACACTGGGCTGCTGTGGGAAAATGGTCTCCAATATCTGACCCTTGACCTGACTCCTCATCACTACTAACCACGCACAGTGGTGGGGATGAAGCCCCACTGCAAGTATTGCCACAACATACTAATGCGTTGCCTGTCTCTGTGCCCACATTACCCATAAAGAAGCAAAAGTTGCAGAGTCTGGCAGGTTTTCATGTCAGTGTTCAACCATAAAACAGGCAAAGTCTCACCGCTGAAAATATCTTGGGGTTTGCAGATTTGAGAAAGTCTTTATACACAAGATAAAATTCTAAGATACTCAGAAAATGATTGGAAAAGATTGTTTCCTACATGACCAAAATGTAGTTACACATCTCTAACGTGAAACAGCTCAGGAGGGCCAGCTCTCTAGCACTGTAAAATGCCTTCCTCACTTGCCAAACAAAACCCATCCTCGTAAAAGCAGAACTCGGAACAAAGAGAAACAAACATTATTTTCCTTATGCAAAATGATGTTACGTGCAAAGACAACCCCTTTCATCAGATGTAGGAAGAAAGGGATTTCAACTTTATATACTCATTTATTTTTAGTCCATGGGACAGAACTGACTACAGATTCCAAACCCAGATTTTCTTTGCTTGGACTATGAGCATTTCAGAGCTCTGGATAGCCAGCACCAATAAATTCCTGCCCTGCTATCTAATAAACTCATGTTTCAAAGCACTACTGTAATAAAAATCAATCATGAAGACAACTGGATAAGTACACAATTAGAAGAGAAGATCAAATTGCTGAAACCTGGAATCAACTTCTGTGATTGTCTATAGATCTACAGAATATATTTCACTAATAGCCTGTTTGAAATGGTATCTTAGCTTCTTTTAAAATGTATATGAAGCTCCTGAAACAACTGGAGGATATACAAAATAAAAGCACTTTTAGATAACGATAATGCGTTATAATCTTCTTCCCCTAAAGGCAGAGGCTAAAGAAAAATCTGTCTGAGACTGTCTGAAATGAACTTGCCACGCTCTTGATCAGTCATGCACACAAGCAGCAATTTCTCCCAGCAATTAGCTTTCTCAGTGCACATTCTATTAGATTGGACAGGCAGACAGAATAGAGCAGCTGGATAATTCCAGCCCTCCCAGCACCGGTCACTGGGACTCCGTGATCATTTGGAAAGGATTAGGTCCAGGACTAAGCCAAGCTTCTGCATTCAAGCTGAACACATCACCGATGCTAGTACAGTAAAAAGCAACATTTTATTTTCACCCAATGGAATCTGTACCTTGGCCACTTCAAGTAATGCCAGTAACTACATTACACCCTGTAGCAACACTGATTCTGAATCTTGTTGACATGTGGATGAATAAACTAAGCGACTGTAGATCTTTGCATAAGCTGAGTCCTGAAGCCATGCGTGGAAGCACAGCAGAAAAGAGTGGTTTGAAACACTGTGAGTCGTTATTGTTTGGGGAACTTGATTTGGCTTCAAGGATTTTAAATATCTAAATTTCTATGTATTAATGCTTACCCTTACCCAGTGAAGGGACTTCAGTAACAGATTAATGGATTTTCCAGTGAGTTAGAAAACTCTGAGTTTATATGTTTTAAAAAACCCCTGTTTGATCATCACCTATTGCAAACAACTAATTCTGGCACCAAACATTTATGACATAAATGCTGATGTGTTTAACTCCTCAGTGGCTGGAGTTACCCTAACCAACCCAAGGGAACTTGGGGCTAGAAAGGCAATAATATAACGTGACTTGCTTTCAACAGACAATAGGAAACGGTCCAATAGGAAATAAAATACTCCTACCTTTGGAACATGAGGGTTGAATTCTACAGCTCTATGAATTGCTTCCACAGCATTAATTTCTGCTGTACTGAGCCCTCTTTTGGAAGCAGTTTCTGGGGAGAACCTGAAAGGAAAAACCCATACTGAACAAAAGTAATAAATAATAAATGCTAACCAGGTGTTGATTTGCATTGTAAGCTTGGAGTTCATTAAAAATCAGCTGATTTACCAGGAAAGATAAACAAACCCTTCTATGAGATAAATGGTCATGTTCATTTAGGTATACTGACTGTCATCCACGCCCATATGACAAAGTTTTGTTTAACTTTTTGAAACAGCATGTCAATCACATAAGGTAACTGAGTGCCCAGTCATTCATATCCCTGATATAGCACTACCTACTCAGAGGTAAAGCTAGAAATCTGCTGTGCAAACAGACCAGGTGAAAGTAAAATGCCAACATGAACCATCACTACCATCCCACACCCAATCCCCAAAACAAAGAAGTGTTGAACATCACAAGCAAGACGCTGAAAACAAGATTGATACAAAAGCACACATGTGTACATGGGCTCTTGAGAAACATCTTCACCTGTATTAACTTTATGGATGCTTAACAGAAACTTCAGATCACATTTTAACTACACACACATACATATGTAGGAATACACTTAACTTGTTCTTAGAAATGTAACTGCTACATTCTGGATTTAGACCTTTTTAATTCACATTCAGACTTTTAAAACACATATTTACAGCATAACCCAAGATTAGTAACAAATCACTGTTTTCACAAACATGCGTGCTTACCTTTCTGAAACAGCCCTGGCTTTTAACAGGGCTGCTGTGTAACATATTGCTGCTGACTTTGGAAGACTGATATCTGGGATAAAATAAAACAATAAAGCTGTAAGATTCTAAGGCAAGACAAACATTTTAAACCCACATCCTTTGAGCTTAAAGATTTTCACTTGGGTGTACCAGACAATGAATGTAACATCTGGAACATTTCAGCTAGGATGAGAAACTCAGCATTTCTTTGCACAGTCTCCCTTCTGCTCACCAGTCAGATTAACAACTGATTAACAACTCAGAGCTGTAGTTAGGTGGTAAAGAGTAATTTTTTCTTCTTAATGTACCAAAACATTGAAACTGAATATAAAGAGACATGCATGTTTAAGTACACACTTAAGACTGGTGTGATTTTCCTGATTAACCCAAGGAGGTTTAACATAATCTTCTTTTACCTGATACTGCAATTGTACATTAACAGCAAGCTTTACACAATGCTAAAAGAGAGACTGACTTGAAGCTGACCAAAAAATGACACTACTGACAGGTAGACAAATTTGACTGAAGATTCAATTTCCATTCTTTTCCAGTTCCATGGGGAAAAAAATCTTTTAGTTATAGCTTTTTGTAGTATATCTGAGGCCAAGTTCGAGCTGACAATTACAGATTAGAAGGTTAACACTCCACAGTACAAGTTTACTTTAAAAGCAGACAAAGTCTGGGGTCTAATTCCCAAGTACCATGTTGTGTACAGTCAGATGGCTCTTGCTTTTTTTTCTGTAAATCCCATCCTGGGCTTGTCCATCACTTACTAGAAGTCTGGCTGTCGTGTCAAGCAAAACACAGGGGTGCTACAGACTGCCTGAAGCTCATACTCATTTTTCCAGATGCTTAGAAAAAAAATAAAAATCAGCAACCTTTTCTTCAGTGTCAAAATTCCTGATTTTAACGCAAAGAAGAACGAGGAAATAAGGAAATGGTTCTGTTAAATTAATAAGAATCCACACAGAACACCATGGACAGTCAAGTCACAGGAGCAGGCTGATAGGGTGGCCATGCACAAGGGGCACAGGATTTGGGCAAGAATATTCTACTTTCAATTCATTGAAGCAATAAAGAACAGACATAAGAGAGAACACAGCAACTGCTCACAGGGAGGGAACAATGGCCACAAAATACTGCGTCTGTGTCCCTCCATTCTGAAAGTGATTTAAGGGACAGCTTTGACAGCAGCACTAACGATGTGGGCATTACCTGGGTGGCAAAACTGAAAGGACAATAAGAAAGTAAGTATATGTTTTATTAACCTTTATCTAGACTTGCACAGTACCCAAAATGTATTAGCTGAGATGGAAAGTGAAAGCAAGCTCCTGGCATTTAATAGACCAAAGCTTGCACACCACTAATCTCTGACATGCAGCACGCTTGCATGTTGCTAATCTCTGGCAAGCAACCTCAGTTTACAGAATCATGAGGCCAAGCCTAGAAGATAACAGAAGGGAAAACTACCTGTTCCAGCTTATTTACAGCAATTACTATGGGGGCTATGCACTGACCGATAAAAGTCTGATGAATTTAGGCACAATCAGGGATGCAAAAGAGATTAAAAATCTACAATATCCTTGAATCAAAGCACAGGGATTTCTTTACAGATTAGAAGTCACTTAAAACCACAAAATAATTTGTGTGCTATTTAGCTTGCCTACACTTGACCTCATTGTCAAAAGAAAAACTTAACTTGGACTCTGGAACTTCCTGTTTGTTGCTGATGAAGTGAATCTACTCACCTAGCTGAGCTTCACAGTAGACATCTTCTGGACAGGCACACCTTGCCCTCCCCACCTACACTCTTACATAAAAACACCACCGTTTCCCCAGTAGACATCACTTACCATCATACTTTGCTAAAACTGCTTGGACATCTGCATAGGCCTGTAACTCCAGCAGTGCCTCCAGGAGGTTTTCATGAATATTCAGCATGCTGAGAAGTGGAAACTCTTTCATTAACTGCAAGTCAATACAGAGAAACATATTAAGCCCATGCAGAATTGCACTTGAATCCGTGAAATACTTCACAGAAATCATTTAAGCTTTTTCAATGTTCTTTCCTTCAAAGTGTTAGAAACTGGCACATATGCAGCATGAAAAGAATCACATCATTTCTACCTTAGTTTTTCCCTATATTCACCTGCTGGAAAATAAGTAGACTGAGGCTCACACAACACACTCTCAGCCCAAATTTGCACAACTCCCACAGTAAGCTGGTTTGGTCAATAATATCTTCCTATGAAAAAAGAACTTATGATACACCTGCGGCAAGTGAAAGAAGCATTGTGAAGTCTAAAGCTGGCTATTTTGACAAGTTAGAGTCAAGCATGAAGCAAACTGGACAGCAGAAACATACAACATTATGTAACTTAAACCTGACATGGAGGAACAAAAAAACCTGTTCTCACACAATCATCAGTAACAACGTACACATCTCATCAGAAGAGAGCTGAATTAGATTAATTATAATGCCTAGAAAGGAACATTAAACAATCAATTTGGAAACGTGACAAAACAAGTTGCTCTCTTTTTACATTTTCACTTACATCTCTCATCATTTTTACGGCCTCTCGTATTCTTCCAAGTTTTCTGGCACACATAGCCAGTCTCCTTTTCACATACACCAATACATTGGTGTCTCTTCCTGATAACAAAGACAAAAACGTAGGCTATCAGTTTCAGTTCTTCCCTCTCTTTCCCTCCCTCAAAAGCCCCAAACCACCCAAAATCCCACAGCCTTCCCTGTGAGGGTGCTGAGGCCCTGGCTCAGGGTGCCCAGAGAAACTGTGGCTGCCCCATCCCTAGCAGTGCTTAGGGACAGGCTGAAAGGGGCTTGGAGCAACCTGCTCTAGTGGAAGGTGTCCCTGCCCATGGCAAGGGGGTGGAACTGGATAAGCTTTAAAGTCCCTTCCAACCCAAACCACTCTGGGATTCTATGAACCTTTTTCATAACCACATGTAAAAGCATAAAATAATTACTACTGCTGTCCCAAGCAAGGCCCATCAACAATGGCAACTTTCAACTAGGTTAAATGAGAAAAAAAATAAACCTCTTTTTTCTTAAAAATATTTGGTAGAATAAGAGCAAATACTACTGGCACACACTAATTGCTTCAGTCATTTGCTCTACCTATTCTTCTTTCCCAGAAATAATGTACTGAGCCTCAGCAAGACAACCCACGATGAGTACAGAGTAATTGCCACTGCTTAAGATTCATTCAGGTGCTACAGAAGATCCCATAGCATGCCATGCACAAGCCCGCCTAAAAGAGTAGGAACTCCTTCATTGAGCTGGGAATCAAACTGGATCACTAATTATAACTTTAGTTTTACATTTCTGCTCACACAAACCCAAGAGTTATGAGTCCTTACTCAGCTGTGCTTCATGCTGTGGACTTTGGGAATGGCAGTTCTGAGACTTCCTGTAAATCATTTCTCCTGCTTTCAGAGCCTGCTTGAAATACTTCTCAGCATCCACAATAGTTGTTGCTTCTTCCTCAGCCAGGAGGACATATGCAGTGGCACAACTGTAATAAGGAAAAAACCCACTGATTATTTTAAGGCATAAAGTTTAGTGGTTTTTAAGTGTTAGAAGCATTAGAACTGGGCAGTTTTCACTGATGTTTAGTATCAAAGCACTAACAATATTCAAATACCAGAACATTGCCTTGAGTTCAAATGGTGAGCGTCAGGAAAACAGAAACCTTTTCCAGGTTACAGAGCACGCATTTGGAGAAAGAACAAAAGAATAACAGCAAGTCAAATTATTTTCCTTGAAATATTAAAAATGCTCTGGCAATTGCTGGGAGAGAGTTTTTGTGGTTGCTTTGCTTTTTTTGAAGCAGGAGGTAGACATTTTGCACAAAACCAACAAGACACATAAAAAAAAGACCACAGAAGTATGTGGAATTGTTTGGGTTGTATTATAAGAGTGTTTTCAAACCTCTCACAGGAGTGACATCTGTAAACTTCCAATACAGTATTAGCACGATGCCACCTCTGAAACACTTACAACCTCTTCTTCAATTGAGACTGTTCCATATCTGAATAACATTTCTCATTGGTTATGGCTACTGATACATAGATTAAATGACATCTTTCCCAAGAAAAGCTATTTTATAATAGAATGGTTCAATACTTCAGTGCAACTGGCAGCCCATGTACAATTCTCACAGTCACCCTTAAGCTCTTCAGAATTATCAGAACACAAAACTGGCAGCGTGCTCAATATCACTCCATTTAACCTTCCCCACTAGAAATACAGCAATTGAACTTAGACTCTAAACTTACTCATTGTTCAACTCTAAAGCTTGATATGCTGCTTTGATCCGAGCTTGAGGGTTTCTCTCTCGCCACGCTTTCTGCATAACTGTGGCAAAAACATTGAAAGGTTGATAAGGGACAGAGACAAACACCTGAGAGCCAACAGAGGTGATGCTGGCTGCTCTGTGTCAGCTCCACAGTAACATTCATTTCCATTCTGCAAATTCCTCTTTGCTATACGACTGGTACAGGGAACAGTAAACAAGAGTTTGAATTCCATAAGCAGCAAACTTGCAACTTCTCATCATGCAGCAAACCTAGCTCAAGAAAGCAACACCACCAGCAAGATTATTCTCCAACCATGTAAGAAGTCCTGCGCTGAGAGCAAAGACAGCTTACACAACCAGGCAGATGTACAATTTCTACACTGCTACAGGTTTTTGGAAACACTTCCCCAGACTTGCTGAAAGCTTGGCAGGAGCAACTGTTAAACACAGGTTCTTGCACGGACCCGCACAGAGTTTTATTTAAGCTTTCAAACAGAACTTCAAAGGAAACGGGGATGGAGTGTGCTGTGTCTTGCACAGGTATTGTTTCATACTTAAGGATTTAGACAACTACCCGATCACAAAGGGTTAAATTACTTGGTTTTAAATTCATAGAGTCCCAGAGTGGTTTCAGTTGGAAAAGACCTTAAAACTCATCCAGTTGCAACCACTGCCACGGGCAGGGACACCTTCCACTAAAGCAGTTACTCCAAGCCCCTGTGTCCAACCTGGCCTTGAACACTGCCAGTGACGGGACAACCACAGCTTCTCTGGGCACCCTGTGCCAACGCCTCAGCACCCTCATAGGGAAGAACTTCTGTCTAAAATCTCATGTCAGTCTCCCCTCTGTCAGGTTAAAACCATTCCTCCAGTCCTGCCTCTACATGCCCATGTCAAAAGCCCTTCTCCAGCTTTCTTGTAGAGGCCCTTTTAGGTATTGGACGGCTGTTACAAGGTCTCCCCCGGGCCTCCTCCGCTCCAGGAACATTTGAGTTGTAAACTCAATTCAAGATACACTATAATAATTTATCACCTTATCAGAATGTGTTCTAGGAACAACCAAAAAGGGTGAAATTATCTATTCAGAAGGGTCACTTGAACTGCAACTTGAATTCAGAATCAGTCAGATAAGGAGCAAACAAAAGTTCAGTGGAATGACTCTAAACCCTTTCCCACTATGCTTGCATTAGGGAAAAATGGAAATCCCAAACTGAAACCCAACTTCTACGCAAAAGGAAAACAACATATTTGGAGCTACCACTTTTTGTGCAAGAATTAACAGCTTTCATCCTAAATCTGGAGTTCTTTCAGAACTCCAAAACTCATGGAGTTACGTATCTGGCCTATCTCAAGTACGATAAGAAAACTGAAGAATCTATACATGTTTCTTTTGGAACAAAACCTTCTGCTGTCCAGCAAGAGTAACGTGGAAAAATGTTTGAGTTTTCTTTTGGAAACAAAATATTAGTCTTGGCTTAGGGAGCGAGACAATACACTCCATTTTGTGAAACAAAAACACATCGTTCATGTCAAGCATGTCACAGCCAGCTGACAAGTAACACTTGCCCGGCTTGACAAACTGACAATGGTTCGCACCCAGCCTGACAATAACCAGGTAGAGAACGTTTTCTGCACTGAACATGTGGAACACAATGGAAGAATTCTGCAGACTGCATTATTCATTAGTGAGGTTTAAATGAGACATCTCTGGCTGTTGAGAATACAATCCAGGTTTGCAATACTGTGCTGTTAACTATTTGAAAAGTGTGAGATCTTAAACTAAGTCAGGATCCTGACAGCCTCCAAGTTAGTAGAGAAAGCACATGGCAAAAGAAAAAACCACCATCTTTTCACTAAATACGTCTGTTAAACCTCATTAGTAGTTGAGAAAAACTATTATTTCACAAAGCATTTCACACAATAGCTTGTGCTACCACCAGTATATATTAAATACCCACTTTACACTCTCCAGCAGTCAGATATGTCATGCATACGACAGTGGTACCTGTATCTGAAGGCCGAAGGGCGTCTGTATCACATGTGAAAAAGTTCTGATGATCCTGAGCAGACAAATTCATGTCGTAGTAGGTAAGAGGCTCCTTCCCAGTCACCCACATGTACCTTTAACAGGAGAAATCTCAGTAAGAGTAGTAAACACCAGTGCTGATATCAAGGGGCATTGATGTGCCTAACAACTGAAGCTAGTGCAGGAAAATTCTATTAATAAAAGACTGGAGCTACTAACCAGAAGTTTCAAGTACTACTGTCCCATAAACTGTACAGATTGGAAAGTACTAACCAACCTGAGACCTGACTTCCTAGGAAGCAGTTTTTCCTATGAAGTAACACAAGGAGACTTACAATACAGCCACATCAGTTTAATAAAGAGAATTTAAATTCAAAATCATTGTCTCAACCTCCAAATAAAGCTTTTCCTCCTACTTTACTCTCTCTCAGAAAAAAAAAAAAAAAGATGTTATAGTAATATTTGCATTCTTAACATTGAAACTGCCAAAACTTGGATAGGTGCCTTTTAAACACAGGATTGGCATCAATCACCACTATAATCCTGCAGGTCTCCAGCTGCCTCCTGATATTACTAGTTCGAGCTCTGTACAGAAGTCATGTGTATGCCCCCAGATTCATTTTAACAACATGCAATGGCAAGTAGGGTAATAAATACCTGCTGTACTCTGCCCCTCTGAAAAGATTGAGAGGATTTCGCCACACTTTGCATTCTGAGGAAAAAAAGAATACGAACTTTTAAAATATGGAGTCCAGGCAACACTCCCCTGACTCTGAAATGCAGGAATGCAAATGCAGGTTTACTTTCTAAAGGCGCTTTAATTGTATCACTACACAATCTGAACAGAAACATATGATCTTCTCTATAAACTTCTGCTATTCCATAAGCATTGCTGATTCACAACATTGCTGGGGTACAAAAGCACATGGTGGAAAGATCAAGCACTGCCGTTTACATTCATGCAATATTTATCTTGCACACATTCAGAACAGAAAATATCTGATGCTACTGAAACAGTTTTAAGTGAATAGGCAAAATATTTTAACCATATTTTTAAGAATAAACATTTTAGATCAAAGACACATTATTATTTACCATAGAATGGTCAGGGTTGGAAGTAACCTTAAAGCTCCTCCAGTTGCAACCACTGCCACAAGTAGGGACACTTTCTACTATAGCAGGCTGCTCCAAGCCCCTGTGCCCAACCTGGCCTTGAACACTGCCAGGGATGGGGCAGCCACAGCTTCTCTGCACACCCTGTGCCAGCGCCTCAGCACCCTCACAGGGAAGAACTTGTGCCTAAGAGCTCATCTCAGTCTCCCCTCTGTCAGGTTAAAACCATTCCCCTTGTTCTGTTCCTACAGGCCCTTGTCCAAAGCCCCTCTCCAGGTTTCTTGTAGGCCCCCTTCTAGGTATTGGAAGATTTTGTTTACCTTTACCATTATTAATAAGCACTAACGTGGAGTCAAAGCCATTTAAAAGCCAGTTCATGCCAACCAGCAACCTTGAAGCTTAAGGAAAACTGCTGGGACACATCAGCAATACCTGGCATGTTCTGCCTGCTGGTCTCACTCTCTCCAGCAGAGAATGCTGCTGGTGCTGGAGGGCTGTTTTCTGCCCCCCCGATGAGGGGCCTCAGATGACTCACAGAAACCTGCTCAATGAAAGACGTGCCATACTTTCGGAAATGCCACCACTCAAACACCTGCCACAGGAAGAAAACACACCAGAAATTCCTTAGGTGACATCCTTCCAACAAACATCACAGATGAAGAGCCAGCTGGTCACAGCTGGTACATCCCCTTGCAAATGACTGTTGACAGAACCCATCTGCTTACAAATTAACACCAATTATTTTGGCCTGTCTCGTCATGCAGGATCACCCACATGACATGAAAGAGGCTAAAAAACAACAGTAAAATTTTAGTCAAACCTATGCTCCTCCCTCCCCAAGTCATTAGAATAATGTCTAAACCCTTTCAGTTGGGCTGTGGTTGGAACTAGATGGGGCAGCCCCAACTTCTCTGGGCAAACTGTGCCAGCACCTCACCACCCTCATCAGGAAGAGCTTCTTAATATCAAATCTAAATCTACCTTCTGATATCTAATCTAAATCCTTCAATCAAGCCCCAAGCAATACTACTGACTGCAAAACAGCTGTGTATGCCATAAAGGCACTTGTTTTTTTAGTGGTGGCTACAAGAAAACCTTACCTATGAAACAGACTTTGCACATTCTGGTAAATAGGTTTAACTGATGTGAAAAGACATTTTCTTTAGGTTCTAATACTGAAATAGAGATTAAGCTAAAAGATTTGCATGTAGCACCACAGGTTTAAATGATCCTCGCTGAATCACTGCTTCATTTTCAGATAGTTACATGATGACACTTGCACAGCACCACCACCCCCCATGTTACTATGGGAAGCCAAACAATCAACCAGCTGGGCTAAGGGAAATACAGATCTCAGTGTTTTCTTTATACAGAGGCCTGCAAAGTTTGCATGTTTGTTGCATTTTTCATATATCTATGTATATACACACATCTGTGCACATACATATGGACATGTACCTCCTTAAAACAAGTGATTTTCCTCAGACTCACCCTAATGTACAACACACACAGCAAAATAGTCATACAATGCATTAAAGATACTAAACAAGCTCCTTCCTAGCACAAAGGCACCCTCTAGAGTCTGAACAGAAAAGAGCTGGTTGCATTGACCCTTAATAAAGGCATCTTAGAGGTGTTAAAAGTCATTTAAAAGAAATAAACGTGGACTACTTACAAATATCAGTCCAGATATAAAAGATGAAGTCACTGTAAGGGCAAAGTAGAATTTTGGAGTCAAAGTGCTTAAGAACACAGTCACTGTTAAGAGAAACAGAAACAAAGGCTTTACAAGAGAACTGAAAAACACAAAGAGGTTTTTATTAAACAATGCCAAATGAAATACGCAAATTACAATGTGGCCCTAATAGCTTTACAGATGTTCCTTTGTTAGAGAATTCTTGTCATCTAGTATTATTTCTTGTTTGTAACCATCTATTACAGTAAATTAGGTTATATACCCAACCTAAAAATAATTCAGTGTAAAATCTTAGAGCAGACGATGGGTTCAACCACATCACAGCTGCTGGACCACAAGCCAATTTAATGTATTATTTCATTTTCATCCCAAATGGAAACGTGCTGTTTTGATGCAAGTTGATCCTCGCCGTTAAGCACACATTTCCCGCAGACCTCCCTTCCCGGTATTCCCAATACAAGGTTGTTTTCCAGCGCTCTCTGCCCCGGGGTTTAACCCTACTGCACATCAGCTCCAGAGAGGCCGGGCTGGCGGCCGGCAGGTCGGGCTCTCCCCCGCTTCAGGCTCCAGCCGCCCCGGGAGCGGGTGTCTGCAGGGACACACACCCGGACGCCACGGGACGGGGCGTGGGCCGGGTGGCGGTGGGGCACGGCCGGCATCGCTCCGGGGCACAGGCTGGGCCGCCTGGGACGCCGGCCCCAGCGAGAGCCCCGGGGCTGGGTGGATGTGCTCGGTGTGTCGCTGCGAGAGGCTCAGGAATGCGGGCTCCTGGCCCTGCCCTGCTCGGCCCGCACCAATAGCCCCAGAGCCCTACCGCAGGAGCTCGGTCGGGACAGGGGGAACCGTCCCCACCGAGCCCGCAGCCCCCCGATGAGGCCCGCCGCGTCTCACCGGCCGCCAGGCTGTCCCGGAGCCGCAGCGGCACCCGCAGCACCACGTAGAAGAGGCCGAGCCCGGCGGCCACAGCCAGGAGCCCGCGGGCCCACGGGGCCGCCGCCGCCACCCGCCGCCTCAGCTGCTCCCAGCGGCGAAGCGCCGCGGCCGCCCCGAGGCACGGAGGCCCCCGGCCGCTCCCGCTGCTGTCCGCCATGGCCGCCGCCGGGGGACGCCGGGAGAGGGGCGGGCCGGGCGGAGGGGCGGGGCGTGGCGGGATCCACGGGCTCGGGCAGACCACTCCCCGGGCCCATCACCGCTCCTGCACCGGCGGGGCTCGGGTCGAGCGTCCCCGGGAGCCCCGCAGGGCCCCGCGGCTGCCACTGCCGGCGGTTCCGCCAGCACGACCAGTCCCGGTCCTCCCGCTCCTGCGATGGCCGCCACCGCGGCGTCTGCCCGCAGCTAACATGGCGCTGAGCGCGCTTCCGGGCCAGCCCGGCGGCGGCGCGCTATCCGCCGCTCCCGGCATGCTCCGCGCGGGGCCGGGCCCAGAGCAGCCAAAATGGCGGACTTCGAAGACCGGGTGTCGGATGAGGAGAAGGTAGGGAAGGGGCCGCTGCTCCACGGCGGGATGGCGCTGCTGTCCCCACAGCACCCGCGGGAGGGTAGTGGGCGGGAGGTGGGGAGGAGGCTCACCCGTTTCCGGCATGCTCTCCTGTAGCCCGGTCTCACATCGCCTCCGTGCGGGCGGGCCCCTGACTCCGGCCGGGCCGCTGCCGCCCTAGTGAGAGGCCGGCGGCCAGGGATCAGCGGTTACCAGAGCAACGCTTTGCGTTTCGGGTTGTTTCGGTGCAGCTGAGGTGGCTCGGCCTGTCTTTGTGAGTGGAAGTACATTTTTTGGTCTTCCGCTTGCCCTTCCCTGGTCAACAAAGTTAGCGGCGTCTTAAGAAGGTGCTGTGCGACCTACTGGGCTCCAGAACACCTTCAGAGCGTGTCTTCACGTTTTCTGCTTGCCTCAGCTGCTGACAGTAACTTTGATGTTGATCCTACAAATTACACTGGATGCAATAGAATCACAGAATCAGCCAGGTTGGGAAAGGGCTGTAAAATCAAGTCCAACCATTCCCCCACGTCTGCAAGTTCCCCCACTTAACCCGTCACTGAGGGACTAAGTAAAAGCAGAGTGGCAGCACTGATGCCATTTAACACATGAAACTCAACCTTTTCTGCCAGGTAACACTAGTTGCCTACAACAGTAGTTAAAAAAAACGCTGTTACTCTTCCTTACATCATAAAATATATGACATGTAGCTTTTTGCTTTGTTTCTGAATGTTCTGGAGGAGTTATTAAGCTCATGGATCTTCAAGGATTCTGCAAGTCTGGAGATTGCTTTCATTTTTCCCTTAAACTGGCAATTGCAGCTTCATTACAATGACGTTCATTGTGAATCAAGCAGAGCTCTAAAGGTGCAACTCATCCTTTAGTTAATATTTTATATGGCATGAGCATTGTTGGAAACAAGAATTCCAGAGCTGAATTCATCTGGCCTTTAGCACATAACCGAGATCTATCCAGTGGTGTATAAACTATTTTCCCCTGACATCATTTGGCTGAATTTCACTTGAACTGATACAATTGAAGTCATCATTGCATCTGATGTGAAAATGAAAACAAAACTGAAGCTTGCATCTAGGCGTGGGATTTAGTCTGGGACTGAGAGCCGGTGGTGCGAGAACTTAGGGTCACTGGGTGGGGTTTTTCCTCCTTTTGCTGCGTTCACCTGAAATGTGCAGCTCTTTCAAAGCACTTGCAGGGAAGAGGTGTCCTTCAAAAAGTGGCTTTTCAGAACTACACTTCCCCCAAGTGCTGTATCTGGCAGAGTAGATGGGATTTCACTTGAAATCGGAGCTTACGTTCTAGTACACATCCTGGCTCAGGCAACCTAGATTCAGTTTAAAGCAGCTCCATGCCTAGCATGGGTAGAAAAGGATAGAGAATCTGAAAAAGAAACATGCAGTGAAGATTTACTATAGGATCCATTTCATAACCATTTAGATAGGTCTGGAACTTTTATATACGGTTCCTTTTTTAAGTCTGAGTTCACCAGTGCTTCAATATAAACAAAATGAATTCATTGCATCCCTGCCAAGCCTCACTTCTTTATTCTCTGTATTTTAGATAAGTTAAGGGGTTCGTTTTAGTTTAAGGTCTGCTGCAGCATACCCTGTTGTCTACTTCAGTTCGTCGTGCTGCCATTTTGCCAGTTACACTCGTGGCTGAGCAGCTTCTCACAGCCACTTTCCCCATTTCAGCAGCAGGAAGCTAGTTCTGCTGGCATGGTGCACAGCACCCGAAATGGCAGCGCTGGCCAGGAAGTAGGTCAGCTTGCAGAAGTCTTGTTTTGGTGCTTCTGCAAATGAACATCCTGTTACTGTGCTGACACCACTTTGAAACAAAACAAGTCTCAAAACCAACTGCAATTCAAATGCTTGACATTTAGAATTAATTACTCCGCAGCCTGTTTCCTGCACCCCACTCCTGACTTCAATAGTTTGATTTAAATGCTTTGTATTTAAGGTTGGATGGGGCTTGGAGCAACCTGCTGTAGTAGAAGGTGTCCCTGCCCATGGCAGGGGGCTGTAACTGGATGAGCTTTAAGGTCCCTTCCAACCTAGACCATTCCAGGATTCTGTGATTTTATTGCTCCACACAAGAGGCAGGGCCAGGGATCCCTTAGAAAAGTGAATGCCGTTCACTTGCAGCATTTTCTTTGTTGATGGCTGGTTTTGTGATAACATTTGATTGAAATGCAAGCTCCTTTCTGTTTTGGCTTAATTTTGTTCATCCTTCCAAGGGAAAAGAGTTTGTGGAAGACTAAAAATCTCTCCTGTAATATTTACTTTGGTTTTGGTTTGGTTTTTAGGGCTTTTTTCCTATTTTTTCCACAAGGATCTGTTTATGAGACTCTATTTATCTAAAAGTCAGCTTATTAAAACAGCGTCCCCTTTATGGGGGTCCCATGTACAGTACAATTCTGCAGCCACACCACTGATGCATAAATTCATAAAATACTAAATTTTATGGCTTTTTTAGGGGCCTTATTTTTCCATATGTTGAAGCACCTCATAGAACGGAATCTGTTCATCTGGGAGTTGATTTGCAGGATGTATTCTAGTGCAATCCTCCCACTGACAGGCATCACAGCATGAAGTGCTTTAGCACAGTGCCACACTTCAGCACAGGGACACACCTGCACTAGTGCTTCCACTCATGCTTTCTTAGAAAAGCACATGGTGTCATTTCAGAAGCCTCTCAGCTATTTTGGGCTGGCTCTCAGCAAAGGCCACAGAGAATATAAAGCAGGAGTATCTCTCTTAGTTACTTATACGTTATCTTTATAACCTTCCAAATATCTGATAGTGAAACGTAACAAGACTGTGGCAGCAATCTCTCCTTGTTACAGTTCTGTAGATGGTGAAAACTTTCAAAGCAAAAGCTACATTTTTAGGATTGCTGGATACTCACAAACCTTATCTAGAAGCAGCAAACTAGGAGAAAGTACTTTGCCATTCTGGATTGCAGCAACTACACAGTCTTTTCAGGGTTTCATTTGTATTGTAGAATTACTTAAAGCATGAAGATAATAGATGCTCAGTCCAGTTAAGGTAGAGCTGTTACTCAACCCTGTTGGAATAAGGCAATGTACCCCTTGTTTGGGAAAGAGTTATTTATTTCCTTTCATGGCTTGCTTTAAATCCTTACGTGACAAACAATACAAACAACAATTTAGAATTAAACCAGGGAGTACAGTTGAGAGAAGCAAGTTATGTCCAGCTCTGGCATAATTCAGCTGAAGAGGGTGGATTTATGCACACTCCTTTGGTTTACTGCTCAGAATGAAAAGTAGAAAAAGTAACCAGAGTTGTAATGAGCAGTGTTCTGCAGTCACCTTCAATAAATGGCTGAGGCAGGAGGGCTCATTGCCCAGATGCTTAGCTGTGCTTATTGCAAGAAATGTGACTTCTATTATTCCAAGGGAGAGTTTTAATTTGCGAAATTTCCTGTTTCAAGTGTTCCAAGATGAGTCTATTCCTTTTGGGCCTGTAAAAATCATAAAAGATTTGATTTTGAAAACCATAAACTCGCTAGTTTCAGCAGAAACAATTCCTAGACCACCTAAATTCTATCAGTGCAAGACATGTATATTGGAATTTCAGACCACAGTGCAGGTTTATTACTTTATAGAAGAGAATGGGTTTTTTCTGTTCCAGCTTCAAAGGTTGCAGACATTTGGGTGTTTTCCTTACATTTGGCCTTTTCAGTTGTTTATTGTATCACTCACAGCTTCACGTCACTGAGTTCTTCCACTACTCTGACACTTCATGACTGAGCTACAGACCAGTTTCCAAGAAAACACTACAAGATGGGAGGAGTAACATGCCACAGAATGGCACAGATGGTGTGTCTGCTGCTCAGGGTTAGGAGTGACCAAGGCAACATTAGAGGATCACAAAAAACAACCCCAACACCTTCTCAAACTTGAATGCTTTCACTTGGAGGCTCTTACCTGACTCTTCTGGTTCATTTTGGCACTTTTCCTTGCCCATTTCTGGCAGTTCCCAGCTTTTTACCTTGCGTCTCCATAGCGCCTTCTGCATGCTGAGCACATACGTGGCTTTTCAAAGTCCATGGGGCATAATTAGCTGTGGAAGCAGTGCCATGGCAGTTGATGTAATTGATTTACTGCTCCATTTCTAGAGGGATCAGCCTCTGCTACTTCACATGCTTTTTGCTGTGAAGCTATGGCATCTCGTTCAGCCAGTCATCAGCAACAAACAAGTTGCATCACAGGGAATCACAGTGTCCTGCAATATAAAGTGTAAGGTTCTCTAAGTGCAAGGTGCTGCACATGGGTTGGGGCAGTCCCAAGCAGAAATACATGCTGGGTGGAGACCAGATTGAGACAGCCCTGAGGAGAAGGACTTGGGGGTTTTGTGTGATAAGAAGCTCCCCATGACCCAGCAAAAAGTACTTCCAGTCCAAACCAACAACCCTGATGTGGGCTGCATCCTCAGAGCATGAGCAGACTGTGTGAGGAGTTGAGGGAGGGGATTCTGTTCTGTTCTGGTGAGACCCACCTGCAGTCCTGATCCAGCTTTTGGGTCCCCAGCATAAGAAGAACGTGGAGCTGTTGGTGTGCGTCCAGAGAAGGCCATGGAGATGCTGCGAGGGCTGG